GTTGTCAGTGAAGGCAACTATTGGTATATGGGTGGGTAGGTGGGTGGACAGGCTGAACTATTAGGTATGTCTATGCAGCAGGGAGTGTACCCAAGACCATGTATAGGACTGGCAGACAATGGTTCTACAAGTGTATGTGTATGTTCTGTAAGAATTCCCAAAGACACAGTAGAGCTGACAAGGGACAATGTTGTAGTCGCTTCTTGATCACAGCCAGCTACCCAGAGGAAGCGAGTAGTTGAACCTGTGGGGTTGGGACTATAGTCATAGGGGACATCAAGCTCAATTGGCATTTATACTACATAAAACATTGTTCCACCTCCTACTTTGGCGAGTAGCAACTAGGATCTTAAAAGCTTGCAAGCAGCCGTCTAGATGCAACAATGGGTCTGTCCTCATCCAGAGCAAAGAAGAATGAAGAAAACCAAAGATTCATGGAAACAATTAGTCCTAGTGACCATGCGATCTGCAGCCTAGACAACTATGAGACCAGAAGAACTAGATGGTGCCCAGCTACCACTGTCAACAACTCAGAGGGGGTTCTATGTAGTAGATCCTAGATAGAGAGGGAGAACAATGAGGACAAAACTCAAAATCATTTGGAAAAAAAACGGGGACCAGGTTTGCTGGTCTGATAGAGCCTAATGGAACCCCTGAGACTATGGCCCCTAGCTGCCCTTCAGGTCTGGACTTGAACTGACACCTGTGGCTTCCAGCCAAACAAAAGACAGGCATATGAGTTGAACATTTACCTGAGGTAGATACACTCCTTGCAGAGAACAATCATGGCAGAAAGAAGGGCTGTTTATGCACAGGGAGACGGTTCAAGGGGAAGGAGTGCATGGAGGGATGGACGCAGGGAAGAGGTAACTATCAGGAGGAAGTGGGAGGGGAGCTTTTGCATTGTGGTAAATTGCAGTCAGTGTCATGAGACATTGTGTGTGAACTGGTGTATGGAAAGTGAATTTGCTCTGTAAACTTTCACCCAAATCACAATTAAAAAAATGATAGTTTTTTAACGAAATATAATTCACATATCATACAATTCACTCATTTAAAGTATACAGTTCAGTGGTTTTTAGTATAGTTGCAGAGTTGTACAACCATCATAACAATCAATTTTAAAACATTTTAATCACTCCAAAAGAAACTCCTTGACTATTAGCAATCATTCCCTATTTCTCTAATCATACACCCCAGCCCCAGGCAACCACTAACCTACTTTCTATCTCCATGGATTTTCCCATTCTAGACACTTCATACAAATAGAATCATACAACATTGTGGTCTTTTGTGACTGGCTTCCTATTCCCTTTTAGTCTAAATATAACAAAGGCAACTGGCCACCTTGAACTTCCACAGTCATCCTGAACCCATTACCTCAGAAGACACTGTGGTAGTTCAGTTTGTATGTCAACTCGGCTGGGCGTAGTTGAGTGGGTGGGCAGCCGATGGTAGTTATTCCCCATGATAAGACTGGCAATCAACTCCATGGTGGGATCTATCACAAGCAGCTGAGTAGCTGCCTTTTGGATATGGTCTGTATATAAGGAGAAGCCTTGGGGATAGTAGCTAACCTATGGCACGCTTGGACCCTGCATGTAGCCGTGTCATTGCTCAGCAGCCTGCTATGCTCTGCCAACCTTGGGACTTACAATGGGCTTGAATTAATGGCCTGCCATGTGATTTGGTAATATTGGGACTGTGCCTTTTTACTTGTCAATCTCGGGCTTGGCAGCCTCAGCAGCCAGCAGCTGTCTGAGTAAAGAAAAGCCTCCAGCTTTCACCCAGCCCCTAGAGCCTGGCACTTTGAACTTGGACTTAAAGCCTCCAAATTGTAAGAATAAACTCCTGTTTGTTAAGGCCATCCCATTTGTGGTATATTCTTGTCAGAGTGGCACTAGGTAACCAGAACAGACACTTTCCAAGTAATTTAAGGAACTTTCATTTCCCTCATGTATGAGGTTTCAGGCAATACCACTCCTGCCTACTCCCACCTTACATCATCATTAACTATGCATTCTTATTCTCTCCTACTTGACCTTATTATAACGACCTCTCTCAATGTCACAAGATCAACTAAGTATTTTCATCTTTCTCTGCCTATAGGCATGAAAATTTGCCTCGTGAGTGTTTCCCTGGTCATTAACTGTATTTTATCTCCTCTCCATCAACTACCTGAGCTTACCGACCTGTCCTGCCCAAAGACTTCACAGAACATGGCACTTCTACATAGCCATATTTTGTTCTAAGTACAGCTGTACTTGTTTGAATTGTGTTAAACCTTTAACAGATAGGCCAATTTGTGAAACAACTTACTATAATAAATACCCGAACATGGACAAATCAAATGAGGAAATGGCAATAGTAGTTTCTAAATACTGTTTAGAGAGGCCAAAGGTATCATGATGGACTGTAAACAAGTTGAAGTACACTGCCTTCGAGATGCTACAAGTTAGCAGAAACTGTGGAGAGTGAGTAGACAATTGGCTAAGGGGAGTAATACCAAAACAAAACCAAACTCTCTGCCACTGAGTTGATTCTGACTCATAGTGATTCCTGTTGAGTTTCCAAGGCTATAAATCTTTCTTGAAGCAGACCACCTCATCTTTCTTTTATGAAGCAGCTGGTGGGTTTGAACCACAGACTTTTTAGTTAGCAGCCAAATGTCTTAACCACTACATCATCAGAGGTCGTTGGGGGAGAATAATAAGCATCCAGAGTAGCAGAGACTGAAAGAGTAGTGGAGTGATATAATGTCAAGAGATTATGGAAGATAATCTCTTCCATAAGATAAAAACTAAGATATGGAGTTGGGGTGCTGATATACCTTGAATCTAATTCTAGTAGATTGTTCCTGTACTTGAAGCCTTGGTTGTTGTATAAAATAGTTGAAATTCTCTATTGTGTTATAATCAGGAGTGTGGTAGTGATGATACTTTTAATGGTTTACCTTCTGTCCTTGAAGCATCTTTAATGTTTCCAGACTTGGGTTCCAAAATGTTAGGGGGCTTCTCTGTGCCCCTGACTTAGAGCAAAGGTAATTTCCAGCTCATTATTGGGAGTTTCACTTAGCAACTTTGCCTAAAACAAACCAGTGAATCCTAAACTTTTGAAGTGATAATAGTTGATTAGTATTTATTTCATGATATCTCTGCTTCCATTCATTAAGGAAAAAAATGCTGTGTAATTTAAAAATTATTTTAAGTTTCTGAGTGGTCTGTACAGCTCTGATTTCAGTTCTTTGCTACATTATGTTAAGATCAGGAGCTCTGGTAGCATAGTGGCTAAAGCACTTGACTGCTAACCAGAAGGCTGGCGGTTCAAACCCACCAGCCACTCCTCGGAAGGAAGGTTGGGCAATCCTACTTCCGTAGTGATACTGCCTTGGAAACCCAAGGAGGGGTCGCTATGAGTCGGGGCCGACTCGACGGCACATAACAACAACAACAACAATGTTAAGATCACTCCTACTCCCCATGACATGACTGTAGATTATCCAGGGTAGCACGGAAGTACAGAGTAGGAAAATGTAATAGTGACTGATCCAGCACTAGTCTTCTCTATCCTGGACTGCATGGAAGCATTCTAGGATTTAGTTGGAAAAGATGTAGAGCTTTTCTTCCAACTCTTTCCCAGTGGATGCCCATGATAAGGGATCATCTTCCAGAAATATGAAGGAAAGATGCCCTTTCTCTTTGTGTGGACCTTTGGTGAGGAGGACTTCTTTAACCTGCAACAGTTGTTGACAGTTTCAAAGATTAAAAATGTTCTTGCTCATGTTCCACTACCCAGGACAAGGTGTAGCAAGGAGGATGTAGACCTTATGTATGAGGTGATTGGACTGATATCAAACCAAGATCTGACTCTTAGGGACCTCTATTTCTCACAGAACCTATGATGTGGTAGGTACTCGGATGTTGACTAACTTCACCCTAGCTCTTTTAAAAATATTTCCTTTGCTCAAAATTCCAAGGTACCTGTTTATTTTTATTTCCCCTTCAATAATAGCTGTTACCAAGAAAGCCTGGTGGTGTTGTTTTCTAACCATCCATGCTATGGATGTTTGTTGTCCTCACCTTTCTCTCCATGAAAATTGTCACCCAATGCTGCCTAAGCATCCCAGACCACTATTTTAGGAAAAAATTTTGACAAAATGGAGCTGATTTTCAAACCTAAAGGCATTTCTCTAGATCTTCCCATGAAATTGCTGGAAATGATAAATCTTATCAAAACATATTATTATGTTTCTTTTGGCAGAAAGATATGCTGAATCATTGCTTGACATTTGTCATGATACGAACTCTTCTCCAACTGATATGATGACAGTTACCAGAAATCAGAACATAATCTTGCAAAGCCTCAGCAGCAGTGAGGTAAGACCCTTCCTTTAATGAAAAAACTACTTAACAAAAAACTGATAACTCACTCCATAGACTTCATTTATATTGCTTGGATATTTTATAACAATCATATATTACTATTATGCTTTTTAAAAAAATGTAATAAAAAAAACTAAAACACAATTAGTAAGACAGTATCCAAGGGACTAATCTCAGAACATTAATTAGCTAATCAACTCTGAGTCTCATGCGTGGTGTGCATGTATGTACATAATATCATGGAAGATTATTGAAGTTGAATAAATATTAAATAATAAAATATAGTTTCTCTCTATGTATGTTGATATTGAAAAGGGAAAGATCATTCATCTGATGATGTCAAATCCATTACAAGTCAACACAGAGGAGGTGCTACCTCATGGGTGGCTATCACTCCTCCTATGATAAATGACTGCACAAAAACTTCCCTACTGTAACAGTACTAATAACAAGAATTGTGATGCATAGAAAACTGTAGAATGATACCCAAGACACACAACAAACTGGAGACAGTGATTGCTTGATTAGAGGAAGGAACTGGTGATTTATTTTGCTGGCATAGCGCCTAAGGCATTTAGCTGCTAACCAGAAGGCTGGTGATTCAAACCCACTAGCCACTCCTCAGAAGGAAGACTGGGCAATCTACTTCTGTAGAGATATCACCTTGGAAAGCCAAAGAGTGGTCGCTATGAGTCTGAGACAACTCGATGGCACATAACAACAACAATAATACTTGTTTGTACTTTTGAATGTTACAGAAAAATAAACATAGCCCAAAGAGTTCAAATCTTTCTACTCTATTTTATAAAAATATGATCCCAAAATTGTTTATTTTTTAAAAAGTTAATGAGGTATGGACTATATTACATAAGAACAAAAATCAATGCTCTTTAATGTGGATGGAGTAAAGACTTTTTGGTGCCTCTTTTCCTTCTCCACGTCGTCCCAAAACAACAAATAAAACAAAAAGTAAGTTGTTGAACTTTTTATTTTGAAATAATTATAGACACACAAGAACTTGCAGAAATAGTACAGAGAAATCCCGTGGACCCTTCACTCAGCTTCCCCAATGGGGACTATTTTCATAATGATAAGTACATTATCAAAACTGGAAATTGACATTTTTCTTTCTTCATGTGTGTGTTTGTTTGTGTATGTGTATGTAGTTCTATGACATTACAGTCTCTGAATAACAGAAGTGTTCAGTCATCACAAAGGAATTCCCTCACACTTCCCCTTTATAGACATACTTTCTGCTTTTCCCTAAACCCTAGTAACCACTGATTTGTTCTCCCTCTCTGTAATTTTGTCATTTTTAGAATGCCATCCAAATGGAATTATATATGCAATGTTTTGAGATTAGCTTTTCCCACTCAACATAATATTCTTGAGATCCTTTTAACTGAGCTCTGGTGGCACATTGCCTAAGGCATTTGACTGCTAACCAGAAGCCTGGCAGTTCAAACCCACCGGCCACTTCTCAGAAAGAAGGTTGGGCAGTCTGGGCAGTCTACACTCACAGCGATACTGCCTCGGAAACCCAAGGAGGCATCGCTGTAAGTCGGATCTGACTCGTCGGCAGTGTTTTATGTATCAATAATTTGTTCCTTTATATTGCTCAGTAGTATTCCATTGCATGGATGTTTCAAAATTTGTTCAGCTTTTCACATGTTGAAGGACATTTGGATTGTTTCTAGATTTTGGCTATTGCAAACAAAGCTATTATGTACATTCATATGTAGATGAAAGCATAAGTTTTCATTTCTCTAGGATATATGCCCAGGAGTCCAGTTGTTGGGTCACATGGTAAGTGTAAGGAGATCCGGTGGTGCAATGGTTTAGGCATTCAGCTGCTAACTGAACGGTCAGCAGTTGAAACCCATCAGCTGCTCTGTGGGAGAAAGATGAGGCAGCTGCTTCTATAAAGATTTATAGCCTTAGAAACACTATGGGGGGCAGTTCTACCTGTCCTGTAGGATTGCTATGAGTCAGAATCAACTCAATGGTAGTGGGTTATGTTAAGTGTATGTTTAACTTTTTAAGAAACTGCCAATTTTTTTTCCAGAGTGGCCGTATTATTTTGATTCTCATTGGCAATGAATGAAAGATCCAGTTTCTCCACACCTTCACCAGCATTTGGTAGTGCTAGTGTTTTTCATTTTAACTATTCTACAGGTGTGTAGTGATATATCATTAAAATATTTCAAAAAGTGTTAAACATTTTTTCTTTTGTTTATATACCATCCACACATCTTCCATGTTAAATTTTCTGTTCAAGTTTTCTGCCCATTTTCTAATTGTACTATTTATATCTTACTGTTGAGTTTAGAGAATTCTTTCTATATACCAGATATATAATTTGTCAGTATTTTCTCCAACTCAGTAAGAAAATTTTGGCTGTTCATCATTTTAACAGACTTTTTGCTGAACAGATCATTTTCATTTTGATGAAGACTAATTTATCTAATTTTGCTTTTAAGGATCATACTTTTAGCATTTGTATGAGAACTATTCACCCAACCCTAGGGCACAATTTTATCCTATGTGCTCTTCTTATTTTTTCTTATTTTTTTAAAACAATACTATATGTGTTTTAGGTGAAAGTTTACATAACAAAGTAAGTTCCCCTTTAATGATTTTTATACAAATCATTCCATGCCGTTGGTTACAATTTTTACAACATGTCAACATTCTTGTTATTTCCATTCTATTTGTTGTTTCCATTCATCTAGCTTTCCTTCCCTTCTTTGCCTTCTCATCTTTGCTTTTGGGTAACTATTGACTATTTGGTCTCACAGAGTTAATTGTTTAAGTTCCTATGTTTTCTTCTAAAAGAGTTATGGTTTTATGTTTAACATTTAGATCTGTGATCCATATTGAATTAATTTTTCATGAAATGTGAGATTTAGGTTCATTTTTTGCCTTTTGATGTCCAATTGTAGTAACATCATTTGTTCAAAAAGCTGTCTTTCCTCCATTGAATTATTTTCACTTTTATAAGAAATCAATTTGTCTTCCTTCTTCCATTTAATTGCTATCAAATTATAAGATGCATATTTTGTATTTTAACATCTTTGAAATCAAATACCTTACAAATGTCATAGTTGTATTGTTCATGTTTTATTTATTGGTCCATGAAATAATGATGTATCATACAATTAGTGGAATATGGTGGGAACATTGTAGACAGAGGAATGATAAATGATTTGGTAGGATAGAGGAAGAAAGGTAAACCTGATTGACCACAGAATGCACACTGATGAGAAGCAAGATGATGCATCTCCAAAAAACTCTGGAAAAGTTCAGGGAATTAGAGGTATCAGGTACTACAGAATTTGGGGGTTAGCATAGGGTTGGAAGCAAGAATGACCAGCCTTTGTCTCACCTACTGTGGTCATGTTGTCAGAAGGGACCATTCCCTGGAGAAGGATATCATGCTTGGTAAAGTGGATGGTCAATGAAAAAGGGGAAGGCCCTCAACAGGATGGATTGACACAGTGGCTGCAATGATGGGCTCAGATATAGCAAGTATTGTGAGGCTGGCACAGAACCAGGCAGTGTTTTGTTTTGTTGTACATAGGGTCTCTATGAGTCAAAGACAACTCAATGGCCCCTAACAACAACAACAACATAGGGTTGGAAACAGTTTTGTTGAAAGTTTGTGTAAAGAGGAGAAAGACCCCCAATCTCCTATTGCCACTCTATATACGCAGGCCACTTCTCTACCTCCACCCTACAGAAGGCAGGAAGGAAGATTTTGTTGGGAATAGGAACTCTGGACTTACTGACAACATACTGATGAAAGGTGGAAGAAAGGCCTCAAACTGAAAACTGGAAGATTAAGTCTGAATATTAAACAGAGAGATAACCACTATACCCTTCCCTGCCCAGCCCCAGATGACCAGAAGCCAATTTTCACTGCTGAGCTAAAAGATTAGAAGATCCCTTTCAGAAGGAAAGTTAATGGCCTCAGAGAATAGACTCATAGACACTGACATTTGTAAGTCCTCCAAAACAAAAGCACTTCACTGTCAGATCAATTCCAGCAAAGACTACCAATAGATAAACTCCACCATGCACAGAGAGATTCTGGTTAGATTTTTAGGGTCTCCTTCTTAAATATGCATAGATAGTCAAAGATCACATAGACATTTGAGGAAAATCTCCAACATGAAGGACAAAGCCCAAACAAACAGAAACAAGGAATGTAGATGAAACAAAGCACACAAAGAAACTGAAGGGGAAGAAATTGTTTTAAAAATTTTTTTTTTAAAAGTAATATTTCTAGAACCAAAGGATATGATTGTTCAGATTAAAATACCCACCTAGCTCACAGCACAATGACTAAGAATACCACACTCTAAAGCGTTGTGAAATTTTAAAGCACTGGGGCTACAAAAGAATTCTAAAAGCTTTCAGTGAGAAAGAGAAAAAAAAATCACATACAAAAAATAAGAAACTAGAGTGGCACTGTTGTTGTTGATATGTGCCATCGAGTCAGACCCGACTCGTAGCGATCCCTCTTTGGGTTTCTGAGGCAGTATCACTACGGAAGTAGATTGCTCAATCTTCCTTCTGAGGAGTAGCTGGTGGGTTTGAACCACCAGCCTTCTGGTTAACAGTCAAGCTGTATGCTACCAGAGCTCCTAGAATGGCACTGTTGTTGTTGTTATGTACCGTTGAGTTGGACCCGACTCATAGTGACCCCTCCTTGAGTTTCCGAGGCAGTATCACTATGGAAGTAGATTGCCCAACCTTCCTTCTGAGGAGTGGCTGGTGGGTTTGAACCTCCAGCCTTCTGGTTAG